GTCTGCCAGATTGCCATGATGTGGTTGCGATATGTGTACAGCGGTCGGGTGGAGTGGGACACGGAGGATACAGAAAAGGTTCTCAAGTTGGCAGAACAGTACGGTCCAGGTACAGAATCTGAGAATTATTCAAGTAGTTTTCGCAAATTCTTCCGTTAAATTTACTCGTTCCCAGATGACCTGCCGCCTTTATGCGCACGCATGAGAGCCACCTCGAAGAGAGAGGAATTGAATGACACTAAAGGAGCCACTCCGGAAAGTAGTTTAGATAGTATATGTACAAAAAGCGACGCAAGCAACATGTTTGATGCGACAACTTCTGACGAGGTACGTGTAAGACTAATTAGATAAATTGAGGAACTACTGTAGATTCACTGTATTTCAGGTAACTTTAATTTTGTGGCGGAAATGGGGTGGGGGGGGTAAGGCAAGAATCGAATGACTAGTCACATTTACGGTTGTTATCACCGAAGTCAAGCGGGGCGTATTCTCGGCTTGATTTTGGCCCATTTCCCACCAAGCACTCATTGAACAACCGGAGCCGCAGCGATCTATCGAAAATGTCAAAACTCTCGCGCAGCTGCGCTAACAAAAACTGACTGACTTTGGTCACATCGAGGCTTCCTCAAAGCTTCTCAGCCGGTTCGCCCCTCCCACTTCCCCATTCTGCGAATCTTCCAGTTTTTCGCCAATAAACTGCCGTTGAAAGGAAGGGGAGCAACAAGAGAAACGGAAAACTTCCTCCAGCTACCAAATTCAGACCCCCTTTGCTGCGGATCCCCAACGTACGACGTGTCCTGATAACACTGTAGCCTGTAAACAGGATCTCAGAAATAATTGAAGCGTGGAAAGCGGCTTATCGAGTACGGAAAATGGTAGAACACTGGCGAGCATGAGTGTGGAGGAAAATGACCTACTGGTGTGAATCGATTCTCAGCGAGAGGTGAGAAGAAGGCGAACCAATCAATAACTAACCATTAGTCACTGATAATGAAATCCCTAACCATTGATAAACATGAATTCGGATTGATAATTCGCTTGTAAGATCCAGAAATCGACCAATACTGTTTAGCCAAAGCCGCCTTCCCAAACGAATTCAATCCAGCCGTCTGCTCCAAAGCCTGAAGTGATTGTTCCAGAAGAGCTAAGGATTCAGCTCAAAGAAGCGTCGACCACAACCGAGGCGGTATGGGTTTTATAGCCTGTAAACACCCAAGAACACTCATTTTTGCTACTTTCAGCCAGATTTAACTCTTGACTACGAGGATCCACTTCAAGGCATATCACTCGATTCGACAACAGAGGAGCAGTCGTTGGAAGATGACTGTGTTATTTTAGATGGAACTCCTACGAGATCGGAGAACCGCGGTCAGTACTATTGTTCGGTTTTTAATAACCGATTCTTTTCTTTCATGATCTAAGGCGATCTAATCACTTCTCTCACCGCTTTGCTTATAGACCTACCAACGAGCTGCGGAAGCGGCTGAAAAGAATCCCCATTCGGCCAAGGGTCATTGAAACAGCTGACGATCCCTTCGAGTCCGTTTGGCAAGATTTGTGAGCGTGACATTTCGTGGTCCCTTGAATCAATTATTTTGATTGTGTTGAATGCCATAGGTTCGTTATGCGTTTTCGACAGCAGCCCATTCAGTCGCGCATGTCATCCGATATTATTCCAGCAGTCCTCGTGTCGGTGCTGGACCAATATGCAACCTCCGTCGCCTTCCAAGTTCAAACCCTATATTTATATTGTATTCCCGGAAGCTTTTTAGAATAAGCACATGATGTGAAGCAGCGCATGCATTTCACAAGATAAGCGTTGTCACGCGTTTTCAGTTTCCCTTATTTTGCATCTTTCTGTGCAATTGTTCGGGCTTACGTATCCACAGTTTTCACCAGCAAGTTTTCCTAGCTAGATTGGTTGAAATACCGCGCAAGCGCATCGACTCTCTGTCATGGAATCAGTAAGCCCGAGAAACTCCGTTCTCGGCCGTTTCTTTCGCTTTTTCCATCACTTCAGTCACTTGTCGCCCGATCTCATTTTTGGACTTCCTTACCGACTAATGACCATCGTGGAGCCTTTCTTTGAGTCGCTAATCAAACTATTCCTGGGGTAGCCGTTTCCTCAACTCTGCGCTCAATCCAGATTGCTGAGTCAATGTACCTAAGCCGAGGTGGCGAACCATGAACAATGTCCAAGGTCCTATTTTGCTATTATATTATAGCTCAGATCAAGTTTGTAACAGATCACGGCTGTTAATTTAGGTGATGTCTTCGCCTTCTTGTAGTGAAAAGAATTCCACCCCTTCAAGCATCCCAAATGAGCTAGAGTCGTCACAAGTGTCAACTAGCAGCAGTAATAGTCGTGATCTCTTTGATGAGAAGAGCAAGGATAGTGCTGAGAGAGGTGACTGCGTTCTCTTTTCCAAGTTACCTCCGGAAGTTTTCCTTGTCTTTTTTTATTATACTCCAAACAATCACTAAAGCTGCGTTCATACATGGCGGACCGTTAGTCTTCAACGTCGACTAAACGACGTTTTCGACATAGACTTATTTCGCGAAGCATTATTACGAATCATCCGACGCTAACGGACGAAACCGAAGAAAGCTGCGTAACCGACGACTGCTTCACGAAGGTTAGATACCTATCGATTCGACGAAACCAATTTTCGACGAAAGTGACGAAACCGACGAAACCGACGTAAGCCAAACCCGAACCGATCGTTTCGACTTCAGTCGAGTACATATCGCAATCTTCTGTCGTCTGTTACCGCGATTACCGTCGAACAGTGCGATCCGATTAGTATTTAGTCTCTAGTCGTCGAAAACGTCGGTTACGCAGCTTTCGTTACTAACGCAGCTTTCGTCGGTTTCGTGCGTTACGTCGAATCGCTGATATAATCTTCGCGAACTAGTCGTCGAAAACGTTTACGTCGACGTTGGACCATCGTCGCGCGCCGATGAACGCGCCTAATGCCTCTCATTCAGCTAGTGACGTTTCTCCAACTACTATCAAACGAAATTTCTTCTGGGGACTGTCGTTCTAGCGATGGGAGAAGACACAGCACATTGGCCCGACCACTATCTTGTGTTCTAGCGTATTATGGCTCTGTTGATGTGAGCGCGATGTCCGTTCGTGGCCTAATGATATATACCCGTAAGGCTCCGTTTAGACTTCTCGATATCGCGCATCGTCGAGTTACCGCAGGTATCGTCGGCGCCGCATTTATTTTACATTTCTGTACTTTGGGCAAGTGTAGGAGAATAGGAGTGTGTGCGCCAATGTTTTAGAGAGTACGGGAGAATAGGAGTTTACTGTGTACTGACCCTCCTATCCTCCTATACTCTCCAGAAATCCAGCGCTCGCAGGGCTGCCTTACCCTCCTGCTTCTCCGACTTATCGAAATCCTTGCCTCTGCGCTTATCCATACCTGTCTATATCTGCGTTTCCGTCTTACTTGCCTTGGTCGCGTCTGAGAATGTTTAGCTCGAAATGTTGTGGCAGTCAAGGGTGGTCGAGATTATCGAAGAGCAAGCTCTGTCTGACGGAGCGAAGAGAGGTCAGACGAGCAACATAGTCACGACGCCGTCGTCGTTCGCCCTACCACGCTCCTCGATAGCCATCCTGTTTTTCTCTCTGAAACTGATCAACAAATTGTTCTCTTGTCCTTACCTTGCTGCCATGCACCATAAGTTTTCATTACAGTTCCGGAAACAACGTTGGACCTAACCCCGTTGCGGAGTTGTTCACTGGGAAGGAGAAGATCTTCAACAGCACGGTTTTCTTTGAACGATGAAATAACGTAATTTCTCTATTTTTATTCCCAATGTTGCTAAGTACATCTATTGGAGATCGATGTTACTTGTAAATGAATTCAGTAAAGTTCCACCAAAAGACGACGTCTCCTCGACCGAGAATGAATCAGCCATCAATGGATTTGACCAGCCGATGGAAACCTCCCCCGCAAAGGAGGGATAACCACAACGTTACGACAGGAAGCGGTGATAGTGATGACATAGTTTGCTTGGGAGAGCAACCTGCGACACAAACGTCTGTGGCATCCAACGATCCCTACAGGAACGAATACTTCGATTATCATGATCCATTCGTGGAGCCGTGGTACGATCCGGTCGACACACATGGTGAGTTACAATTGACGGGTGTTGAAGCCATTTTCCGCGACAATTAGATGGGCGGATACAGTCATAGTATCTCATTGATGCGCTCTTTCCTTTCCAATATAGTAAAGAGGACGGTCCAACAATGAGAAAGACGCAGATGTTATGAATCTCTGCCTATCCGTCGTTGTGGAATACCACCCTACTGTAGAATTTTGGATTGACTCTTTCCTAGTGAAGAGAAACTTAGTTGCCAGAGGGTGCAAAAATACCTTACTTTATCAGTGGAGTAGTACTTTATCTTCTCAATTCAGCGCCATCGCCATCAAAGTCTGTACCGGAACCTGTGAAAGAGGATGATGAGATAACACCTCCAAAAGAAACTGGCCGCCGTCGTTCGTCGAAAATCGGGAGGCACTCCCTAGTGAGTGGAATCTTTTACTATGCTTTAGTGTTTTCGCACAATTCAAAAGCCCCCTCCCCCCGTTTTCCAGCAAAACTATATTTTCACACTATTACGGTATCCTGCTCAGTTACTCGAAGTTGAGCTATTTTCAAGCAAGGGGAAACTCGATTTATGCCATGATTCATCTG